TAAATTTTAGTCTTGCCACAATACGCACTTCACACATATTTAAAAATGATGACGTCAAAGTTACCTATAATGAAATAAAATTTGATGTTGTGTAAGCTAACATATCAAAAGAATGCTTTACATACCTTGAAATACCCTTGTGAATATTTATTTTAATTAATATAATTCGAACAATATTAATTAAAATAAATTTAAATTATTACTTTTCGCGAACCGCATGAAACACATTGTATTAAAAGGCAAAAAAAACAAAGCATGATCAAAACAAAAATAGAAAAAATGAGAAATGTCATTTTTTAATTTGTTTTGTGCATTTCGGTTGATCGTACAAATGTTGCAGCGGATAATAAAAGGGAAAAAAGCTGTGAGTGCAGTTTAAAGCTTTCAGAAGCCTGAAAAGAAACCAACAGAATACCTGATGAGGGGAAATGTTAAGGGTATTGACCGAACAACGGCTAGCAAAAAAGTCCGCTCGACGCAGTTAGAAAAAAGGAGAATAAAAGGCGCAAGCGGAGGAGTTTCTGTCTCTTTTGGCTCGTGGTTATGTTGAACGCAACGCATCGTACCGGTGGTGTTAATTACTTAGTTTTTTTTTAAAATAAATAAAAAAAGTTTTCTTTGCATTTTTTATATAACAATTAAAACTACTTTAATATTAATTTAACCAGTGGAAATAAAATTCTTTAAATGAATAAAAAAGTTTTCTTTGCATTTTTTATATAACAATTAAAACTACTTTAATATTAATTTAACCAGTGGAAATAAAATTCTTAAAATTGTGTAATTTTTTTTTTATAATATATAAAGAAACAAAAAAAAAATTTGAAATAGTTTGTCGAGACGGCGCGAAACGGGATAATAGTGTTAATAGCCACAGTATAAAAGAAATAATTGACGGCTTTAACAGTGGTCAATTAAAAGATTTTGTACTGGTGCTCGTTCGAACGTATAAACGTGTTGACACCTCAAGCAAAAGACGTGGCGCGGCTTGGGTGTCTCTTTGTCTCCGATACGTGGCAAAGTTCAAATTGATTGGTGTTTCCTGATAATCATCGCTGGACATTGTAAGCAGCCCTGATGTACCAGAGAGGGTAAGACTTATATATGTATAAAATACAGTGCGGATTTTCGCGTAAGTAACTTCAATGTATAAGCGTAAATTTATAAGCTATTTTATTTAAATCGGACGATAAGCGCATAGGAAATAATGTTTGTTATATGCAAACATAATCTTAATTAATTATAAAATGTAACATTAAAAATTTAATTACTTAATCCACATTTAAGGAATGTAAAAATATTACATAAAATTCTAACTGAAATACTAAAGTAATCTTCACACGACTACGCTTAATAGAAATTCTTCTTCCCTTATATTTTTATTTAAAAACATTTTATGAGTTTTTTTATAAATTTTGTTGTATTTAAGTGAACACAAAAATGCATTTATAAAACGTTAAACTTAAAATATGATTAATTAATATTATTTTTTTTTAAAAAATTGAAATCAGTTAAATATTATTTGCTTATTATTATCTACGAGTAATTGTAAAGACATTATTTGATAAATTGTTTTTTATTTAAAATACATTTATGGTTATACATATATTACAAATTGTTCAATAAAAATTGAAATCAGTTAAATATTATTTGCTTATTATTATCTACGAGTAATTGTAAAGATATTATTTGATAAATTGTTTTTTTATTTAAAATACATTGATTGTTATACATATATTATAAATTGTTCAATAAAGAAAAAAAAAGCTTGAATTCGAAAATAATTACTTTGTTGTACGGCATCTTACTTCAACGGTAGAAACAACATTAGTTGAACGCTGGGTCCCCGCGAATAGAAATTTTCTTGTAAGACCTTGGACTAGGCTGAGAACTACCCCGGCTAGGAAAAAATTGGGTTCATTACAAGTGGCGCCCGAGCAGGGACCCTCGACTAAGGTTCAACAAAATACATCGAAACACAGCTAGTTCTTTAGTTTCAGATATCACAAAACATCGTATATCAGTTAATATGGGTCGCAGCTGGGTAAGAAATTTACGCAAAGAAGAGCTAGTCGCTTATTTGGACGAATTCGAACAAGATTCAACAGGTGTCGTCGATGAATTGCGCCGGCGATTGGCAAACTTTATTGCACAAGCTGACCACAAACCGCAGATAATAACACGATTAAAAGAACTTGAAGATAGACATAGCAGAGTGTCCGTAGGTGAAGTAGAATGCGATCACGCCGTGGAGGAAATACCATTGCCACCCCCAGAACAGACAACGGAGCGATGCCAAGATAATATTCCACAATTGACTCTTCCTTTACATCAGCAGCAGTACACGCAACATACGTTACACGTACCATATACACAACCTAGAACCATGCAAGCAACAGTCATCGATCAGGCTAGAAAATGGGCGGTCCGATTTGATGAGAGTGGCGATCCGTTGGCGTTTGTGGAGCGTGTGGAAGAGTTAGCGAGTGGATATGATATTGCTAAAAATATGCTACCTCGTGCGATGCCAGAATTACTGAAAGGGCAGGCTTTGGTATGGTTCCGTCACAATAAAGGGGACTGGGACCACTGGGAGCAGTTCAAATTTGATTTTCTAGAATTTTTCCTTCCTCATCGTTACTTCGAGCGCTTAGAAGACGAGTTAAGAAACAGAATGCAGAAACCTGGTGAATCATTTAAAACATACGTGTTGGAATTGCAGAAGTTGATGCAACATTTGAAAATGGACGATGGAGCAAAGCTTGAACGATTCTACTGAAATAGTTTAACAGAATACAGGATGCATATAAAGCGACGCGAGTTTTGTACATTACGAGAGCTTATATTACTCGCTAACGACTACGAAGCAGTTCGGGACGTAGGAAAAAGCAGAAAACCAAGGGAATCTTTTACAACACCAGAACGACGAGATAAACCGATGGTACTTGCAGCAGTGGAACCAATAAACTTAGCTTCAGCTTGCTTTCGATGTGGACGACAAGGACACCAAGCGCGGGGATGTCAGAACCCTCGTATCCTCTTCTGTTAGCAGTGCGGCAGACGTGATGTACGAACAATTGATTGTTGTCGAAAAGTTCCGGGAAACTTCCAGCGGTCACGCCGTCCAGAAACAAGGGGCGTGACCGAAATTTCAACACCGTCTCAGAACCATTCATAATTGAAAATAATCGTCTTCTTATCAAAATATTCATTCAGGATCAACAGATGACAGCCATGGTTGATACAGGGGCCAGTAAATGTTTTATTCATCCGGGCATAGCAAAACGTTTATATGGCAAACACAACGAAGTAGATTTGGTGGTACGTTTGGCAGATGGTTCACCGCGGAACATAAATACAATAATTCACACATCACTGCGAATCGGGGCCTGTGACTATGCAGTTGAACTATTAGTGTTAGAAGGAATGGTACATGATATGGTCTTGGGGATGGACTTCCTACAGTCAAACTTAGTAAAACTTCAAATGTGAAACGAGAGGTGGTAA